GAAAACAATATGAAGATTCCTCAAAAAATTAAGAATAGAGTTACCATGTGACCCAGCAACCCCTCGGAGTATGTACCCAAAAAATTTGAAAACATTTATTCTTAAAGATATAAGATTGATTCCTTGCAGCGTTATTCATGGTGGCCAAGACGTGGAAACCACCAAAGGGTCCTTCAGCAGATGACTAAAAAATGATGTGCACATATATCTAATGGAATACTGCTTACGCACAGGAAAGATAAAATGCTGCCATTCACGACAACATGGATAAATCTTGAGATTCTGCTAAGTGAAATTAAGTCAGACGGAAAAGAAGACATATTTCATTCATATCTGGGATACAAAACTGAAAACAACAAATTAACCAGAAAATAAAAAGTCACAGACATAGATAACAGTATAGTGATTACCGGAGAAAAGGGGTTTGGGGTTGGTAGTAAAGGATAAAGGGGATCAAATACACGGTGATGAAGAGAGATTGGCTTTGAGTGGCAAGTACACAATGCAATATGCAGATGATGTGTTACAGAATTATGCATTGGGAACCTATATAACTGTATTGACCAAAATACCCTCAAAAATGTAATAAAAAATAAGGATAAAATTGAAAAACAAAGTTAACTTTTTAATAAAAGGGCAGCCTGATGTGCTGCCGACTACGTCTGGTAGTGAGCAGTGTTTGAGAATTCAGACACTCAGACTAAATCTCAGTTGTACACTTGATAGGCATGCTACTTGAAATGTGTCAGCTTCTGTTTCTTCACCTGTAAAATGGAGCTTGTATAACAAAACCTATTACCTCAAAGGGCCATTGTGAGAACTAAGTAAGATAATATGTATAGAATGTGGAACGGAGAGATTAATGGTTGGGTTACCACCGGCTAGGTAGGTGAGGAAAGGGTGAGAAAGGTCAAAGGAGAAGGTATCATCTTTGAAATAACTTTTGCTAGGCTACCCTAAAAACAGTAACAAGCAATCCAGGAAGCCTACTATGTCGTCAGTAAATTGCAGGAAATGGCCAAAGGACTCAACTAGAAACACAGCAAAGGCTGAAGGAGAGCAGAGGTCGTAGGTGGGTCAGCAGGAGCATGCAGAAGCCTGGCGATGACAAGGCACAGAGCACAGGTGAAGGGTGTGGCGGCGAAGAAGCAGCAGCAGAGGCTGAGAGACAGAAAACACCAAGTCTAAAAGCAGAATGCTTCCCAGCAATGGCAAGACTAAGATGTGGTCATGTGGATAGATGGCTGCAGGATCAATCATATGAAATTGCAAATATTGGACTTTTTCATTTTTAGATAATATAGAGTAGACCATTTTTAAATAATAAATTGGACCTTTTTAAAATAATAACAGTGGGGGCATTACACATTAATTCCATTTTACATTCTACCTTTTGCTTCAGTGCCTAAGATAATGTAGAGCTCATAAGACAATTAGGCAAAACTAAAATTTCATTCCTATTAAAGTGTCCTCAATGTTCCCTAGAACACAATTTAAAAATTGCTACTGTAATTTACATTAAAAGATAAGAGACTAAACAAATAACTTTCTTTGGCTGGAACTTCAATTTGAATTTTATACTTTCTTTTTGTTCTTGGATTGTAACTTCAGAGAAATGATAGCTACCCAAAATCGTATTCAGTATCAAATCCAATGACCCAAAGTCAAAAGACCCAGATGTTTTTTATTGACTTCTTTTTTTTTTAAAAGAGGAAGAGAGAGAGAGAAAGAGAGAAAAAGAGAAACATCGATGTGAGAGAGAAATATCAATCTGTTACCCTGCACATGCCCTGACCAGAGATTGAACCTGCCACCTTTTGGTATATGGAACAATGCTCCAACCAAGATACACCAGCCTGGGCAAAAGACCTGGATTTTTAAAGCTGGTTCCAAAAATGTACTAGTTGGGAAACACTGGACTAATCAGTGAATGTCTCTGAATGTTAAGTTTTCCTTAATTTGTAAAATGGAAATAACATCCGCACTGTAGTGCTGTTATATGTATTAAACATAATACCTGTAAAGCACCTTGAATGGTGCTTTAATAGAAGCTGTTTGTTCTTGTTACTAAATGAGGAAACAGTTGTCAAAGTATAGTAAATGTGCCCTGGCCAGTTCTGCTCAGCGGTTAGAGTGTCGGCCTGCGGTCCAGAGAGACCCGGGTTCGGTTCCCGCTGAGAGCATGTACCTCGGTTGCAGTTTGTCCCCGGCCCTGGTTGGGTTGTGCGGGTGGTGGCCACTCGATGTGTCCCTTTCACGTCGATGTTTCTCTCTTTCTCTTTCATCCTCTCTCTCCCTCCCACTCTATCTGAACAAAAAATGGAAAAATGTCCTCAGGTGAGGATAAAAAAGTATAGTAAATGCAAATGTAAATTAATAATAGTATCATACAAATAAATATTTAACAGTGACAATAATTTGAGTTGTTAGGTGTGATGAGACTAAAGTGAATTATACTATTTGTGTGATAATCTCCTCACTTTTAAATATGGAAATATAAGCATGGGTAAATATTTCTATAATAACCAGATTATTTATGGACTGTGAACTGGTTCTTTACCTCATTATTTTTTCCAATGTGATATTTTAATTTCAATCCTCAAAGATAAGAGAACGTTCCCCAGACTAGCACCAGGCCGGATAAGCAGAGATTTCCTTATTGCTAACAGTGTGAGGAAGCAACGCTAGCTAAAATGAGATATGGTACATATCTATGCAGATTTAACAGATCTTCACCCCACGGGGTGGCGGCAAGCATGGGAAAAGCGCGTCCCAGAACTCAGCACCAGGACGTCTGTGCAACCCTGAGGGCTATCAAGTCTCTGAGCCCATAAGAATGCTTCACAGGGCATGGCTTAAGTCTTAAACTTAATAAAATTCTCAAGTTATAATTCTCTAGTCTTTCTCTACTGAGAAACAATAGTTATTCAATAAAAGATTTACTCTGTTATTTCCCTACCTCTGTTGTAGATACTCTAAGGTTACTAAGAAAACGCAAGAAAACAATTTATAGTTAAAAGGTTAAGTTAAAAAACTACACACTTAAATATCTCTTAAGCAACTTTTCTTTCCAATATTATGGCATAAAAAGTGTTTAGACTAAAATGATTCATGCCACAGAATTTTAGTAGCAGGAAAACAATCATTTACAAAAAGAAATGAAGGTTAAAAGTAACAATGTAGCTCAGAAGAAGAATCTAGAGCTAGACTCAAAGGGATAATTACTTACTTACTGTAAGAGTTGAAAATATAAACTAAATGACAAAGGGAAGATCACTGCTATATAGCAAGAAATCTTTGAAAAGAAAACATCTCCACTGCCACTTAAGCAAACACAGACTCTTGCTAAGAAAATACTGAAACCCACTTTATTTAAATCATTTGCTTTACACAGGCCTATTATTAAAAGCATTCACTTGTTGCCTTTTCTTCCTCTTACATACTCAGGATAACAATTTTTGGAGTCACTTTTTACTACTTTATGTGTTTATAATACAAACAAACAAAAACTTCACAAAACTTGTACTAGATGGGCCTTAAGGGAACTTGACTTGTAACAGAAAATTATTTATAAGCAACATATATTAAGCTTCAAAAAAGTCCAATGTTTGCAGGTGCGTGTGTATCTAAAGCAATGAACAAGAAACCAAGTATCACCAGGGCAGTGGGCTCCATGGACTGAGCACCGTCCCATGGACTGAGAGGTACCAGTTCAAGTCCCAGTCAGGGCACATGCCTGGGTGGCGGGCTTGATCCCCAGTAGGGGGCATGCAGAAGGCAGCTGAGTGATGTTTCTCTCACATGGATGTTTCTATCTCTCTCTGCCTTCCTTTCGCTCTAAAAAAAATCAACAAAAAACATTAAAATAAAATAAAAGAAAGAAAACCAAGTCACAAGGTAGCCATTCTTTAGAGGAAATGAGGCAAATTCCCTTGTGTCAGAAATCTCAAAAAGGGGACAGGTAGATAAATGAAGAACAGAAAGAATAAAACATGAAATTATCATGTGAAGACAACACTTCAATGGAGTTGTGGAGTCAGAACCCACTACTGACTCAAAGACCGACTGCCTGATCCAGGTGAACAATCTTGGCAAAGGCAGGCCTCCAAGAGAATAGGCCTTGGAGTCATAACCCTAACACTCCTATTTAGAGCACATGTCTCATTTTGCTGTTTAAAAATGAGGACAATATTTAACTTACACAGCTGAGATTTAAAAAGATAATGCACAGAAAGTACTACTTAGGACAGTGCCAAGAACCAGTATGTACTCTACAAATACATAATCCCTTACCACACCCCAACTTTCTTAATAACATAAAATTGTATCTATTTTTGAATGCTCATTTCCACCAACATTCATTCATCTTGCCACCTTTCTGAAGTGTAAATAAAACATCAGAGAAACAAGTCATCATAACTGAAGCACTGTCCTACTATAGTTCTCAGAATCATTCTCTGATCAAATCGTCGCTGTATTTATCACTGGATACACCGGTTGGCTTAATGGGTTACCTTCACAGAGGTAGCTAATGAGTAGAAAGGTTCTCCTACAAGTAGTGACTAAAGCAATGTCTAATCAACAACATGTGATTTCTTCTGTTCAAAAGCAATGAACACCTACAGTTTCTTAAATTTCAACTTATACCATGTCCTTTTCTTTTTACTTTAGGTAACTCACTAAAATATCATCAATAATAAATAAATAAATAAATAAATAAATAAATAAATAAATAGTATGTGATACTATTTACACATGACTTCTCACCTTTATTTTCAGCACTAATCAATGAGTATCAGTCTTACAGGTAAAGTTATTAATTCTTAAATCAGCAGGTAACGAGAGTTCAAAATAACCTTGTCAAAACAATGTACAGATCAGGCATTTACCATTTACTGAATAAGTAAATAAACAAACTGATGTTGTAAAGATAGAAGTGGACAAATTTTGAATGATTAAAGGCAGATTTAAAAGTTGATTGCCAATCCTAAAAATCTTACCAATTCTGGAAGGAGATGTTATTGTTTCATAGTCTGAATTGAAATAACTCTCTAAGTCTTTTCTTCACTTCTAAATGTACCTTAACTTAAAAAACAGCCTATAATTTGAAATATAAAGGATAAGGAATATTATCACAAGGGATAAAACAGTCACAATAGCAGCAAGTACACATGAATTAAAAATCATTTTACATGCACAGATCAAAGTTTTAGAAAAACATAACTAATTACTGAGGTTTAAACAGTAACAGCTACTGTAATGTATGGACCTTTATATGCCAGGCATTTAATACATGCTCACTTAGTCTTCATGGCAACTCTGCAGAGTAAGGACTACGGCACACCTGCCTAGGGGCTCCCAGCTGGCGAGCAGCAGGACCAGTCGGCCTCACGCGACCCGGCTCCTTCTCCACACCCTCATTCAGTTCCTGCCACCTCTCCTCTCTTACAAAGACTAAAAACAAATATGTATAAAATTAAGAGCTGAAATAACTTTTCCTTTAAAAGCTACTTTTTGCCCAGCCAGTACGGCTCAGTGGTTGAGCGTTGACCCATGCATGCACCAAGAGGTGGCCGGCTGGATTCCCGGTCAGGGCACAGGCCCATGTTGTGGGCCTGATCCCCAGTGGGGGCATGCAGGAAGCAGCCAATGGATGATCTCTCTCATCAATGTTTCTATCTCTTCCTCTCCCTTCCTCTCTCGCTCTAACATCTATAAAGCAAAAAAATGTTAAAGCTACTTTTTATCTATGACAAATATGAGTTTCAAAAACAATTTTACCAGTGGAATAAAAATTAATATAACTACTACTATTTATTTTTTATCTATGACAAATATGAGTTTCAAAAACAATTTTACCAGTGGAATAAAAATTAATATAACTACTACTATTTATCCACCCAATACTTTACTGAATTCTTACTTTTGAAATCAGAATTGTACCTTGTATCTTAAGCAATAACTGCATAGTGAGAAGATTCCTTTTTTGTTTTCTGTTTACTATTCACAAACAATATATTCAATTTACCTTTATTATTATTATTTTTTCCTCACCCGAGGATATTTTTCCATTTTTTGTACAGATAGAGTGGGAGGGAGAGAGAGGAAGGGGGAGAGAGAGAGAAACATCGACGTGAAGGGACACATCGAGTGGCTGCCACCCGCACAACCAACCAGGGCCGGGGACAAACTGCAACCGAAGTACGTGCCCTTAGCGGGAACCGAACCCGGGTCTCTCCGGACCACAGGCCGACGCTCTAACCGCTGAGCCAAACTGGCCAGGGCTCGATTTACCTTTAAATACTGTCTCCAGAATTCTGATTGTGTAGGGCTTCTGGGTAAATACAATAACTGAAACAGAATTGTACCTTGTATCTTAAGCAATAACTGCATAGTGAGAAGATTCCTTTTTTGTTTTCTGTTTACTATTCACAAACAACATATTCAATTTACCTTTAAATACTGTCTCCAGAATTCTGATTGTGTAGGGCTTCTGGGTAAATACAATAACTGAAACCACAAACCTTTCCCCAAATTGTGCAACTAACAAATGCTACCAAATTGCAAGTATATTATTCTGACTAAGGCATAACAAACTAGCTCTGAGAATAAAGGTTTTTCAATCATGACACAACAGAAAAATAACATGAACAATGGCAAGTTAAAGCGTTATACTCCACGGAAAAAAGTATTCATATTTTAAACAGGCTATATTGTCACAAGCAACCAAAGCCAAAATCAATTCAATGCCAAGAAAAATTCAAAATAAATAAAAATTTTATTTATGTCAATGATGCCATTTATTTACTGCAGTTACATAGATTCTGAAACGAGGTTAACCATACAACTTAATTAAAGAAAACTGAAACTATTTAGATACCTAGAAAGACTACTTTAAATGTCTCCATACACAGTGAAAGAAGCCAGTTAAAAAAAAAAAGATAGTAGTACTATACTAAAATAAACTATTTTCATGTTACATATAATAATTTATTTATTCACTAGCCTCTATAAACCCTCTCTGATTAACTCGTCGTCACCTGCCAATCTACAAACTAAAGCCGGGATCAGTCTGTTTTATTTGCTTCTCACTGATTACATAACACCTCCCCCCAAAGACTGTCCCGGGACCGCGGAGCCCAGGTCCAGCGTCACACAATGACCACTCCCCACACACAGAAACGCCGAGCGCACGCACTGAGCCGCACTGCGCACTAGTGACCCTGTGCTGACCGCGTCGGGAGGGAGGCTCTGACACAGGAACACAAGCAGTGGAAAGAGGCCGCACCACGAAGGGAGCGTTGACTGGGGCAGTGAGCACTGACCCTGACCTGAAACCTGCAAAACGGTATTAACCAACGTCACCCCAACAAAGTCAACTGAAATAAAACAGAATAAATTCAAGAAAATCAGAGACTCATTTCCTTACTTTCCTATCATGCTAAGGATCTCCTTGAAGATTAGGGCCTTTCTCTACACAGCAAACAGCACAGGTGGGTGCAGCCATGTTCTTCTCCAGAGCAAACAGCATCGCTTACCGGGAGCTCTGAGAAGGCTTGCAGCCATTAAGGGCTGGGACTCCTCTCTATGGGCATCACGTCAACAGAGGCTCAGTGAGAAATGGAACCTCCTGTTGCAATGTTATTTTTTCCAGGAGCTTATTACCTGTTTCTCTGTGTATGCACGTGTGCACACACATCCGCGCTCTCTGTGGGAGAAAAGATGCTGCTGGAAAAGCAGGTGACAGTCTGCTGTGAGCCTCCTCCAGAGACAGTTAGAATGAAACAAAACAAGTTTCTGGCTGTCATTTCATTAGCATCCATCCTCCCCTACTTGATACCTATCAACTCAGAGTGCCAATAGACAGTAAGAATTTACGAAAAGAAGTTATACTTTCAGACCTTATCTTTCAGAGATACTAAAATATTTATAGGTAAAATGATCATATCCAGAAACTGCTTCAAGATAATCCAGTGGAGAAAGCAGAGTAGAACCCAGATGCCCACCCACTGACAGGCACTAACGCCCGTGACAGGAACATGGGGTTCATCATACCACTCTCTGCACTTCTGTAAATGTTTGAAGTATTCCACCAAAAAACTTTCACAGATTCAAAACAATGCATTTACCAAGCATTTATTGAGCAGTTCCCATGGTAAAATTACATTATTGTTCCTAATGACCCCCTTACCCCTTTCCATCCTTAAGAGGATTACACAGACTTGCCCATCGTAGTGATTCACAAAACTACCTGCGGGAGGAGAAACATCCCTGCCTACGGACAAGGAGCCTGACCATACAACTTACTTTGGCAGTGACGTGTGTGAGCACGGTGACTGATTTACATCATGACTGAGCAGACACTGTAAGAGCCACTGTACATGTGCACGTCCCAGACGGGTTGCTCCTCCAGCAGGTGTCCGGAAATGCTGCAGCCAACCCACTGCTGACATGATACAATGTGAGCAAGAAATAAACCCTGCTGCACATCAGAGATCTGAAGGTGTTGCTATGATGACACAACCTAGCAAAAACTGACAGATACACCTGCTAGGGGCTAGGTACAAAGAATGCTACAATGAAAGGCTGGCACATTTATAAGAATGTTTTGGAAGGTAGACAAAAAAAGATTAAATTATGGCTACCTCTGGGTAGACAGTTTAAGAACTGGTGGGTGTATTCAGTCAGATAGGGTAAGATCAGAGGGAGACTTTATATCATCATATATTATTTGAATTTTCCCGTGTACATTTTTTAAACCTGAACAACATCACCTAGGTTCTTGGATAATCTGAGTTATTTTTTCACTCCTATAATTTTTGGCATTAAAAAGTATATATAATACAGCAAATAATAATTATTTAAAAATGATTAAGAACTATCCTCCTACCCTTGAGAAACTCCAAAATTGGTTAATATAGCTTTTAAAAAAAGCCTTTTCAAAAAAAATTGTTAACTTTATTTTATCATTATTTTTTTTAATCCTCACTCGAGGATTTTTTTCTTCTGTTTATCATCAGATAGAGTGGGAGGGAGGGAGGGAGAGACACATAGACTGGTTGCCTCCCCCACGACCCAATGAGGGCCGGGGAGGAAGGAGGAACCGCAAGTGAGGTACGTGCCCTTGGCCAGAATCGAACCCCAGACTCACTGGTCTGTGGGCGGACACTCTAACCGCTGAGCCACACCGGCCGGGGCTCACTGTTAATTTTTTAAAATTAATTAATTAATTTATTTTTGTTACAGGTGTTTCTCCTTTTCCCCCCACTGATACCCCCTGCCCCTCCCTCCCCGCCCTGTCCCCAGCTTTGTTGTCCATGTCCATTGTTCATGCACATAAATTCTGTGGTTTATCTCTCCCCCCTCATCCCCTCTTCTGGGGATTGTCAGTCTGTATCCCACTTCCACGTCTCTGGGACTACCTCAAACTAAAAAGCTTCTGCACAGCAAAAGAAACAACCACCAAAATGGAAAGGCAACCTACTCTATGGGAGAGCATAACTGCCAATGATACATCAGATAAGGGATTAATTTCCAAAATATATAGAGTGCTCACACAACTCAACAAAACGAAGACAAAGTACCCAATTAAAAATGGGCAGAGGAACTAAATAGGCACCTCTCCAAACAGGACATACAAAGGGCTAAGAGACATATGAAGAAATGCTCAACATCACTAACCATCAGAGAGATGCAAATTAAAACAATGAGGTATCACCTCACACCTTCAGAATGGCTGCCATCAACAAATCATCAAACTACAAGTGCTGGCGAGGGTGTAGAGAAAAGGGGACTCTAGTGCACTGCTGGTGGGAATGCAGACTGGTGCAGCCACTATGGAAAACAATATGGTGTTACCTCAAAAAATTAAAAATTGAACTTCCATGTGACCCAGTGATCCTGGAAAGTATTATCCTAAGCGAAACAGACAAGTATCATATGATCTCACTTATTTGTGGAATACAATGAACATACCAGTCTGAGGAACGGGGTAGTTCCAGAGATGTGGAAGTGGGGTACAGACTCACTGTAATTTTTTAAAGTGGCAAAGGCTGAATGCAAAGAAAGGGTATGACGCTGGCCCCAG